CAGTCTGATTGTGAGCTTCACAGTAACTCATGTTAATTTCTGTTTACCGATTAACAGGTCTGTTTTTGATTACTCCGAGACAGAGGTCACAAGAAGCTTCTCAACTCTGCACGTGATGAATTATTCTATTCACGTCCGATTTGCCGCCAAAATCGATAACGCTGAAGCCGTTCATACACGCGCCATCTGATGGCAAATGACTCGGGGAACATACCTCCTGTTTCCAACCTTCCCCTCTCATCAAATCGTGATGATAAACCGCGCCCTCCCTTGCACTGGACAGATAACAATCAATCAGACGCACGTGCATGCGCACTAAGCGGCTTGTGGGACCTGTGTAAACAACTCCCAATTTGTCAGCACGGGTCTCAGTTATTAAGTCTTTGATAGACACGCGAGAGCCTCTTGTCTTTAATCACAATCAATTTATTTAGCTGTAGGCTCTTGTGAACTCTGTGGCCGGACTTTCTGGATCTCAGAATCCGTAGATATATATCTTTCGCTGTAGCACTGAACGTGAATTCATTATGGTGTTCTGAGCTGACCGAATATCCGAGTCTTGCAATACAGTATTGTAACGAGGACACTGAACAATAGCGAGTCCAGAAACGAGACCAATGTATACGTATCCGTCAGAAAGGCTTCTCGGAATAGCGGAAACGTTTTCCCGGCTGTCCAGAAACACTGCCAAGGATCGATTGCACTTTTGTGCAATAGCTTTCATATGCACCACTACATTTTTTGTAACAGAATAGACAAATCATTTTTTCATACGATACATCGTTGAAACCGAAGCAAATGTTTAATCACAATAATTTGCTGAATTTTGTGGTTCTAGAAATGTTTTCTTATTCCTAGCATCCAATTTAAGCACATGCTGCCATCATCGATTTTTCACCTTTTCCTGTTTGTGTACGAAGTGGTAAAACTACCCATCGTGCGCTCTTCAAAATGGCTGCCCCTGTTTACACTGCAATAGGATACAGGTGAATAAACTATGCCAGGGAGACCGATACCGTATCTCCGTGATTAGAATAACAGCTCTACAAATATTGAAAATGAGACGGGAGCTAGCAAGAATCCATTTAGCAAGAGGGGAAATATGGCATGAGGGATATTCGATACCATGTCAACAGCCAAGTGCATGCAAATCTTAGCCCTTTAGTTCTATCTTGTTCAGTGTAAGATCAAGGCTAGACTTGGTGCCAAGCTGATAATTCGTTTGGTTTTGCCTTCCACACGTCACGATTTAGTCGGTTTATACGTTTTTTCAATCTTTGCTCGGGGCCGTTGGTTGCCCCATTCCCCATCTTGCTTATTATAAGTCAAAACTCGGCCAGTTAATAAATTAAAGGGCTACAGCTGCGCCGATAGATTTCCACTGAATTTCGCAGACAGAACACAACTAACGACTTTTAAGCAAGTCTAGATCAAGGGCAGTCGCACGTCATAACATTATCAGGATTCTCCCCACTTGAACCCCGCAACGCTAAGCTGTAATGCCGAAAAGGCGTTAGTGATTCCAGGGTGGGTGATAATACATATTACCTGCGAGACCTGCCCAATGACACTACGTCATGGGCCACTTCTCAAGCATAGGACAAAATCAGGTTAGTCTTAAAAGTCACAACTAAACAATAATAGTGCAGCCACACTCGTGAAAATGCGGAGTTCTCTATCGAAGCATAAACAACACAACGGCAATTACTATACTTCTTTTTGTCAAAATTTTAAATTTCATTTTTGTGAAGCGAAAATTTATTCATCGAACAAATCAATGTCAATATTGGTAAAATTCTTCACAAAAGCAATTCTGTTGATATTTCTGGAAAATTAAACACGGGTGCAGGGTCTAGGGACGTCCTTTTATAGGTTTTACCGTTTTGCTGTTTTTCACTGGAATTAAGCCACAATTCACGACTCCTACGCTAGATTTTAATGTAGCTGATGGAGTTGTTTGTCAGCCAGATTATAAAAAACGAAATCTCGAACTTCGTATTACAAACAACCATAAACATTCAACAACACGTATTACACAAAACGCCTGTTTTTAAATTCCTCTTCACTTGTGCTGATTGCCACATTAAAGCTCATTTTGCTCGTGTTATCTGGCCTTGCCTTCATTTCCACAGTAAATTAAATGGCATCATAAAGCTGTATATATTATGCACTTAAGGGAAGTTCCCATCTTCAATGAAATTGTTTCATTTGTTCAGGCCCAAGATATTCCACAACCGCCCCGGAAAACCAGCAGCAAACGGCATAGTTGGATGACCTTTCCCCAGGGACCTCTCGCCTTGTCCGCGGTCGTTTTATCTGGAGTAATTAAGACTAGCGCGAGCAGTCTGTTGGGACCACTGGAACAACGTGGGCCAATCAGTGTCGACCTCCGCGTGTGTTGTATGTCAAGGATGCTAAGATTCAGGCAGGAAGTGAACCGTGGCGCCGACTGAATTTTTCAAATATTGTTTTTTAAGTCCAAATCGTTATGGAGCCAATTTGACGGTTGCAAGCTAGTAGTTCGTTGGGTTTTACTCGAGAATCCGCCCGAGGGTTTGTACACCAATTTTTGAAGGTAGACGATGGTAGATTCAATATCCAAAAAGTTGCATTCAACTTTAAAAAGTGGGTCTCTATCTTCACGTTTGACCATGGAGATTGAACCTCCACGTTTTGACAAAGAAATGGACAATACGAAGCCCAAGACTCACGTATGGAGTAGCGACGTTTGGAGTCGGGTTCAAACCAAACTCTTGGTCTAAAGCCTGTTAGGTAACAAGACAAAGATGGTGGCGATGCATGACAACGGAAAACCACCTGTATATATCCACTGCACGAAAATTGTTAGACATGGATGGCAAGCTAATTAAGTCTAGACTCTGACACGAGTAGTCGGCTGAATCAGGTCTGTCGTCCGATGAAAAGTTAATAGTCAAATGCCCAAAGCGTTGAATGCCCAAAGGGTAGAATCGTGATATATCCAGCTGTAAAGTCAAAGTATAAAACCTGAAATTTCGATTTATGAAGGTCGCGAAGGGTATTGATAAGCGTTTATTTATACCCCCAGGGAACCTGGCTCGGTATGAAATACAATGTGCATAGCTATAGGGAACGCCAGTCATTGCCTGAATGGTGATTACATGGGTACTTTGGGTTATTGTCGGTAACGAAGCAACATCTGTGCTTTCGCATACAACTGCCACCATTCGTGTCTTACCAAAAATAACTCACTGCTATAAAACATTGGAACCATGTTCCAATGTCATGGTGGCCCAGTTCCACGTAATATAGGCCTAGGCCTACATATTAGTATTATAACCTTTTGCTGAGCAGGCATTTTCTGTTCCCATGAAATGGACCCGAGGAAAATGGTATACATGTACACTTCTGATTACTTTATACATGTATTGTTATCTTGCTGTCTCTTTTAGGGAACCATCCAACTCACTGGTATAAAGTGTCACTGTAATGTATTTCATGTATAATACGAAATACATACGTGTGTTATGATGCATTATGTTTCAAGCTTGGCATGTCTAACTTACTACAGTACTCCTAACGCTTACCGCATATTTGTTCATGTTAATGACCGTGTCGGTTTAATAGCTGGGGGCTGGCAATGGCGGTTCCTCCTGCATATACGGTCCACGAAGATTAATGATAGGTCATGTCATGAACGATATGATTCGAGGCTAAGCCACGGTAATGCAGCAATAGTAACATTGACTTCAAACAAAGCCCATTAGTAATTCATTATATCTGAGTCTGTACGTATTATGTAGCAACTAAGCTATATTGTCACTCAGAATCATGGGGAAAGAACATACATGTACTTCCCCAGGGTCTGCGAATCTTTATACGTGTACTTTTATCTGTGTTTTAAAATGAAAATGAGCATTTTATTTCACTGTATTATTATCTCGTCAGATCACAGGCAAGATCGGGATGTGGACATTTTTGTGATTATGGACTGGACCATTTACCACCTCAGTGGGTTGAGATGTTTCTGATCTTTTTGTAAAGGGCGGTTAGGTATTGTGACCCACGACCGCCCTCGTACGCTTCAAGTGCCCCAAGCAGAAAGTTGTGGCATTGTTTGACAAAATGGCACGTGAGATCTTTTTCAACTGCAAAAGACTAGAGAATACAAAGAAGTCGCAGAGAAAGTGAACAAAAAGAATGAAAAATACTCTTTGTGGGCAAGAAAGCGTAAAGCTGTTTTGCAAGTCATTTCTTCCAATATAATTTCAACGTTGTGGATATTAAAAAAAGAATAACCAAATACAGTGTACATAAATCCATGACACACTCGGAAACGGATCTTGATTAATTTAAGGACAGCAACTCGTCGAAAGTTGGTCACTAGAACAGCCTTTTCTTTTACATAACCCATATCACTGAGAAGATGAAACCTATTGACTGCCATTTCCCAATTATTTCGTTCATCGTAGACATCAACAAAGTTGTGATCATTATTTTGAAATTCAAGACAAAACACACCCAAAACGTTCTCTTTAACATTGGACAGTCGATCACCGATATTTTACTCCACGTCTGCATATATAACACCAGTATTTTTGCAATAGCTGTTTTGTTTTAGTTCCAATCACTGTTTAAAAGAATGATCCCCCTTGCATCAGTTTGCAGTTGCCACAAGATTCCTTTTATAAGCGAGATTCCCCTATTCCGGTGCATTTATTCGTACAATCATTTATTTTGAGTATTCCAACTGGCTTGAAACATCAGGTATTAAAGATCCGGACAGTATCAGTTACAAAGTTTATTTCAGTGGCATGTGGGAAGCAGTTCAGTCAAAAACCTTGGGCAGTGTTTGAAAGCCTAGAGTTCATAAGCGAGATCATAGAACGGTGAATTACCTGCGTTGTCCTTATTTTCCTCGTTATTGTTTTGTCCTGGAAAAATGCACTGACGTAATGGGTTAACGAGGCAAGGATAATAACCCTATAAACCCTAAATAATCACTACCCCGTTCCTCAAAATTTCCATTTATTACAAATTAGTGCATATTTATTTCAAGTTTATTCAGTCCTTGCTATTGCACGGGTAGTTGTACAATAGTGATGCCTATTTGTGCTCATTATTAAAGAAAAAAAAGGATAATTTGGTACTTGCATGTCTTGTATTTACATAACGATTAGGCCTACCTGTGGAAGGTGTGGGATGTCTTTTCCAACCCGCAAAACATAAAGCTTAGCAAACCGGTTGAGATAGAGTGTACAATTTTAAAATGAACAGTTAATTCGCCAATTATTTTTGGAATTGAAAATTGAGTGGTGCAAACCAAATAACTGTCGGTTTGTTACTGTTTGCAAACAATAGTCTCAATTTTAGTACAGGATAAGCCAGTTACGATTTCGACGTAATCAAACGTTGACGTACGTCGTCTTTTCCGGACAAAAACTGAAGCAAACCTTTTTGGCAATTGATTTTGAAGATCACAATAACATTTTTTTTCCTTGGACGCAGATGTAGGTTTACAGCCGCTGCAAATGGAAATAGAGTGTGCTTGGAAAATCTATCAACATGACGAAAAACAAAGCTGGGACCCAGAAAAAGAAAGGCTGGCTATGCTTCAAATCACAGAACGGGTTTGTTTGTGGCTAATCAAGTTATGTTAAACAGTCCCAGTGGTATAGCCAGGATTCTCAGCACGGGGCGGGGGACTGGATGTTGGACATACACGTAATCGTGATAACATCAAGTGGGGGCGACAATTTTAGCCACGCCGCTAATGCAAACAACATTAGGTACCGAGTCCAAGGAATTTTATTTCCTATCGTTGTAAACCAACTCAAGCGTATATTTTGATTTTTTATAGGCCGATAATGACGTGTATACATGTACACTGTTTGCTTTGTTCACATTGCTGTTAAAAGTCCATCCCTGTCAAAGTGACACTTTACAGTAACAAGACAGACATAGTTTATCTCTTTAAATCAAAACAAACTTGAACGTTGCATTACAAACATACATGTAAATGTGTTTCAATGTAAAGTTGTCTCTTAAATCGATTATTTGGGCCAAACAATCGATTTCAGAGACAAACCTACATTGAAACACTTTTTTCGGTTGTTACAATCAAAGACCAATTTATTATGACTTTGTAAATTACATTCCCTCTTGAGTTTCCATTTCTAAACAATCCAAGGATCACATCTGAATGTTAGGCTTTTCTCACAACTGAACAGGTTTGACCGTTCAGGCAGTAATGATTGAAGTCACATTTCAGACACTGTGCTGACTGTTTGTACAGAAGTTGTCCTCGTGAGGTCACGTGACGACTGTAAGCTAATAAAAACCAGCTAGCTTGAAGTGTTGACAGACGTGCTAACACATAACCTAGACATCACGAGGAGAGGCTGGTGCAAGTCACAGTGGGTCCTAATTGCTGAACACACCCCTAGAGATGATTCTCGACTGCTACCGAGCCTATGGCCTAAGGGGAGCTATTAAAAAGTATATACGTACTCTCGATCCTCGGCAGCCTAACGTTATGACCTAACTGACATTGCAGCCGCTGGTCGTGGACACAGGTCGAGAAATGACTACTGATTTCTAAGCATGATAATAAACAGGAGCTTGTCGGAGAAAATTGAAGGTTTTTAGTTATAAAAATTTCCTGACAAGTGGCCAAATTTCGTTTATATGGTACATGTAGATGCGGTGATCTCAGATTCAGGTACACGCGTTATTTCGGTGACAAAAGTTAACACAAGGGGAAAACAAGCTCTGGAGAAGACACTTTTACATAATGATGGGTGCACTTATTAAAGCTGCAATACCAATTTTTTGTACATCCATTCTCAACCTGGCAGTAATGTTATACATTTATTCGGTGATGTTTGTTGAACAGAGTGATATATTCCGTGCATGGTGCCGTTCACATCCCCTATATAATGTACGTGTACAGCCAGAGCTTGTGTTCATTTGCTTGTTGACATCACCTGAACGCACTCCATGGCCCCCAGTCAACAAACAAGTTGCAGTGAACCGTATCTCTCCCGAGATCATGTGCATGTACTTGTACTCTGCAGCACCGCGTTGAATTCAATGGCTCACGTCCAGCTGTGTGGTTACTGCTGTTTAACAGAGTGAGTGGGTAATTTTTCTGAAGACCCGTGCAGCGCGCTGGTGTGTGTAGTAGTAGAGTACATGTACAGTACGAGGAGATTTCTTTCTGTACATGTTTCTAGTAGTAGTACCAATAGTCAGTTAACAAACCTGATATTCGGGCCAAAAGGTAGATTAATTTTCCCCGGATAACAATTCCTCTAGCTGTGAGGGTGTTTAGATCAAGAAGTCACAAAAAGCGTGAGAAATCGGCGGGAAACGTTAACGTGAAATACCAAACAGTTTGATGAAAGTTTCCAAATTCCGTCATTGTTTATGACATTGGCTGGCTGCCTTTCCATAGACACACATGTACATCAATCGTCTGACATTATAGGTACACCATGAAACTGATTATATACAAAGATCAGCAGTAGACAGTGCCTTCATTTCTGCGTGTCATGATTCCTCCGAATCCGGCGTCATGAGTGGACTGACATTCGAGTTCCGGTCCCGCAAAGACGCTTCCCGACGCATTCTTCGTGTCTGTCGCTCCTCAAAGTTGGACTTGAGGACCCAGACCACGAGTCCAATGAACGCCGTGACAGCCAGCAGACAGATGATTACACCTTCGTACATGTATTTCGGGGACGCTACTGCGTTGAAGCTGTACTTGAAACCTGGTGCATCTTCTTCGGGTCCTGGGTAGCCCTGCATTTTTTGTATCGACTGTGAGCCCTGACTGTCTCTGCTGTAGTCAGCCGAATAGTCCTCCAAAAAATCCTCACTTGTCATTGATCCCTCCAACGGTGCACAATGGCCCCGCCAGACTCCGTAGCCTAGCATTATAGTCAAAACACACAAAGGTGTGTTCAATAGAGCGTGGAAAGGTATTGTTGTCCTTGAGAGCAGTGCAAATAACCCTCTACTAGTGGACTTACAGGCCCAAACCTGTCGAGTTTCCGTTTCCATTATGGCACTCTCTTCCGAAGTTTGGCACACGTCGTACATGTACTGATGTTTGTAACCGGTTCCAAACAAAGACCACTTACTGCCACCCGTCTGAATAAAGAAAACTTGGAGTGTACTTTGGCCCAAGTTGGTATATTCACAAATTATGCACAGATATCAATTGTTTACTGCTTATGCGTGGAATATCATTGTGCGCACACAATAGCACGCAGTGTTGTAATAGATTCCGCCGACATGGGTGCACACAACTTTATAGTTTGCCTTGAACTAGTGTTGAGTGTTACGTGACGTCATCTGCACTGGTGATCCATTCGCACATTGTGATGGCATACATGTTGTGACCAGCTGTTGTCTAACCGAAGCCAAGTTGGTTCGCCGAGGGGGTTGGTTGAAGCATGGGTTGAAGGAGGGTTGAAACTAAATTCCAAGCTTATATGCGGCTGTGTATTGGCCTTCTACCTTGGAGCTTCCCAACTCGATTCCCAGTACGAACCTGCGACATAAGTTCAAAGAGAGTTTTAAAATGAGTGTTATTCATGCACAAACACCTAACAACATGACAAAAATCGACAAAAGTATGTAGTCGTCCGAGGTCCTGAACAGACTTATGGAACATGGTATAAAGTATTCCTCCGTTTGTGCACCTGAAACTATTACCTGATAATTATGCATGCGAACGATTGCTGTTACCACTCATTTCAATATTCTGTGTTCTTGTTACACAAAAAAATCAACAACCAGCACTGCAGTTCGTGGTTGTGTCTTCCCGACTAATTAAAACTATTATTTAAATCAGTGGTACATGTATGCGATGAGCAATATGAAGGATATGTTATAAACGTCTCGTTAGATTTACTCTCAGAGTTTTATATTGGGTGCATGTGGAGGTCATGGCTCTTTGCACGCTTCCTACTGTGGGAACCAGAGATCAGTGGTGGAAACTCTTACAGTAGCGTAGCTATAGGGTAGCATTTTTCTTTTCCTCTCATGCACACATTTTGTTTTTCGAAGAGTCATAGACAGTAAGTCAACTTTACATTGCATGTAGAATGGGTGCATTTCAAATTTTCATGTGGAAGGGGGCACCCACGGGGGCACAGACTTCCGCTGGGGGCACTTGTTCTCTCCCCCCTCCCGTAGTTACGCAACTAGTGTTCATTTTGTAGACACGTTTATTTTGAAGTAGGGTGTAGATTTAGAATAACAAACATGGATTCCATATTGCAGGCACTAACCCTTCTATTGCGTAGTAATTCTCTTTCTGCTTTGTGTAGAACTTTTTCGCTGGAACAATACAAGGTTAATTCAAGACCTTAATCGAGTTATGAAAAATGATAGCTCTGGTTCCCATTATTTTGAATGTTTGATACCAGCGAAGCACGTCTGCACTAAATTTATCTCATGGTTGAGAAACTAATGTTAAGCTGGTTTGAAGTTACATTGAGAGGAGGTGGCTGGGTAATGTTTTGGTCTAGTATCTATCTTAACTGATCAAATATACAAATGTATGTTAAACGATATAACAGGTGAAACTACACAGTACATGATAGCTACGTTTGCCTCGATTTCCTTCATTGATCGATGTTCCATTTTATTCATTGGAACACCAAGGAAGATTGGAAGCATGTCAGAGATTTTTACAAGTGTCATGAATCATATTTTATTCTATGCACTTTCTACACCATTTAATGCCTCTGAACAGTTTTAAAGTAATTTGACACTTTTTAATCACTCAGTCTTGTTTTAAACCATGCCCTTTTTGTGAGTCAAGTTATTTTGTATTTTTGAGGACTAGTCTTTGGCTTGAGTTGTCTTCTTTCGTCTTATCTCATTTTACTCAAGTCGGGATAGGAAGGTTGGTTCCTTCGATTATATATATATCTTCGTTACGTGACGTGTAATCAACTCAGCCTGCTCTTGCCCAATATTGGATCTTCCAATTTATGAAATCTCGGGAGAGGAAAACAGAACGGCGAATTACTCACAGCTGAGCGTATTCTCAGTTTGCATTTTGCTGTGACGATTACCAGTTAAGCGGAAGGGTCATCGCTTCATATAATGCCGCTTCATCGATTTTTTTTCGTTTGTCCCGTCACTAGGATTTGATGTGATATTTCTGGAGGGGTTTGGAGTAACTGGAATCTGGTGGGATTAGTCCACTGACCTAGTTCCACGGTGTTGTGAGGTACTGACCAGAATAACAGGCTCCAGACTATGAGGGTCAGAAGAGAAAGTAATGCAGGTGGCCTGGTGTTTGGCTGTTGTTTATTTTGTATATTGTTATTTATTTATGTGTAGTCATTAACCTTAGGAATAACCAAATGTGTCAATGACATCATAAATGGCAAGCAAAGACTATGGGAAAGTTGGCGGTGTCGTGTAAGAACTCAAAACCTAATGCACGTTGAGCTGAATACGTTCAAGCCGAAACTACAGGAGTAGAAGGCATGAAAAGTAACTTGAGACGGCGTCTCGTCTCGATGATGGCTTTTTCTCAAACAATACCTCCACTAAATCAATTGAAGAATAATATGGTACGTCCCCCGACGGTTTCCCGTGGCGACAGTGGCAGACTGTAAAGTATTGCACATTTTGTGGTAAGACAGAATTCCTTACGGGTCACTATTGTATTGCTCAACAATTTTCTGCATTGCACTGTTTACTTTAATTGTGGTACGTGCTGGTGATGAGATCGTTCAACTTCTGCGTCAACCCTCACAAACATGATGCATAACACGAGAAAGGAGTTTCCATCGACTGTACGTATTGCAACGGGCGAGTACGCCGGGCTAGCTCTCAGCATGATATGAACATGATACCAAGAGGAGATTCTGGCTGCTTTTGTAAACAAATACCTATTAGTTCAGCTGACAAGACATCAAATGTCTTTTCTGTTAGTCAGAGCGTTTATGAATGTACGTCCTAATGCACATCTAGTGATGTTCATTGCTGGCATATATATAGTTTCTGCAGACGCCATGTGGTGTACGACAGGAACATTTTACTAGTCTCAAAGCTGGATGGGTCGTTGTGCCTGTCGATTGTCAGAATATTAATCTAGAATGTGCTTAGAGCTTTTCATTCGGCTTGTTTTGCTTCGACATGAGGTGAAATGTCTCTATACACCTGCCACTGTCAGGATCAGGATTCTGGTTGCAGGTAGCATATGTGTTTTGGTACAATATTTATGTGACGTCAGTGATGGTTTTCAGTTTAGACGAACAATGTGGCAACAGCACAGAGCATAACTTTCTATTTCCTTCTGCAGAAACCCAGTGTGAAAATGGCCCAGACCCAACCAATTATCGCTTGATCTCTTTGGATTCAATTTGAAATTGAACAAACTGTGGGCAGTGTTGAATAGAAATGTATAAAAACTCTAACTGCATAAAAAATATCCGATATACTCTTGCAACTTTGCCCTCATGTTCAAATGTCACGTCTCCCCACCAAACGTCTTTCCCAGCAGTTATTAAAGCCTAAATAACCATGGGACAGGATGAGCGAACACTGACGGCTAAGAAATTAACTTCCTCTGCATCGAAAATTGTTTGTTCTAGTCCTCCGCGGTAAATCGACTTTAATTCGTTTCATATCCTGAAAAGTGGGGAAGTGGCTTGTCAAATTCATACGCCCGCTTGACTCGGGTTGTTTGGTTTCAGACGGAATAATCGAAACTGCAGGGTTTATATTGGCAAGGGCTCTGCAACTGGCTTGAAATATTGGTGCGAATCCATCCAGAATCTAACCTTAACGAAGCAACACTGGATATCGATAAAACATCCCATCGAAGATCACGATCAGTTTTAGGGGTTAAAAGATGTTTCCAATAGATCAGTCGATTTATTCTAAATACGAAAAAATATTTTTGAAATTTTGAATGTAAGATGGTCATCATGGCATTTAAGCGTTTTCCGTCGGCTACTATTATTGTAAATCCGACAAGCAAACACATTAATCTGCCAGCAGACGCGGTGTTTACCGAAGTTCATTCGCTGGTAAAATGTTGTTTCCATCTAATATAAGGTGCAGAAAATTGGCATAAGCTATGCCTTGGCATTAAAATGGCCCGTGCAGTAGGTTTCAATATAATCTACAGCGCATTCATTAAGCCATCAACTTCCTTTTGTTCATTGCAGTTAATTAATAGACTTAGCGATCATTTTATGTCCCTCGTAAGGTCTGTGCAAAGATTTTAAAGAGATGCACGCAAGCATAAGAACCTGAATAATGCAGCGCTTTGTCGCTGTCGTGTTTTTTCTTTCCCGCCTAATACTGGCTGACGTCACCAGACAGTATGACGTCACCGAACCCGCAGGCTACGATATAATCTGGATTCATAAACCAGGTCTCGATTACAGCGTGTTTACGTGTTCGTCTACATTCATATCTTAACATAGGACAGCACGAACGGGTTTAATAACCACAAGGGCTGGACTGCTCAAATTGAGCGACAAGGTTCTGGGTTCTGGATGCTGATTTGCATTGGTGCCGTTGGGGATAACCTCATTAAAAGCGACCCCCCCTCCAAGCTATTTCAAAGGAGTCTCTAGGATATGCTTTCATGTGTGCCTATCTTGTGCTGCTGAATATATTCAGGTTGGGCACTCAAAATCTGTCATCAGTTCGAGCAATGCGGGAAAGAGCTGAATTTTCACCCTCGTATCGCTCAAAACTCAATTAAAAGTGGTTTTGCTTTTGTAGCATTTGTAGCTATTGTAGCATTTGGTGTAATTTTTCTCCATTGTAGCAGACTGCACAATGCAGACAAAACAGACAGATTGCCGAACACAGTTTACCGGAGTGACCCTTTGATTGGATTGTTCTAAAACAAGTCATTTCAGTACTTTTTCTCGACTGTTTTCGACAGACATATTCTACCTAGAACTTTTAGACGAAACCATATTCTCAACTTGGCCCCAGCTCGTGTGTGGAAAGTAAGAACTAGTTCTTAGCAAGCGTCATTATACTCACGTGTATAGATAGTTTATGTGTGATCCAGTTCTGAAAGTGCTAATGATCAGAATTTTGGTTAATTTTACTGCTAAGCACCCTTTCCAAAAGCATCAAACATCCTCTGTGCTTTTTCTGAAATAATTAATGATTCAGTGCCACCTCAGGAAAACAACATGGAGCCTCTGTTTAAATTGTTTCCCGAAATTGGCTCATTGACGATTTATGTGAATTAAACTTTGCTCACTCGCCTACTGTCAACTACTGAAACATACAGAAATAACAAAGGTGTGGAGAACATAGGACAGAAAATAACACACATTCTTTAAGCTATGGTTGATTTACTTCTAAACATGGAGGTTTCCTCCTAACATCACACCTTTTCTCATGAACATGCGAATTGATAGCATAATAAAATTATGTACACCAATGGTACCCTAAATAGCAAGAACATACGTAACCCAGTGGAACTGTAAGGTTGCATTTGCACAAACTCCATCAGATTACACCGGCGCTTCCAAGAAGTTTAATACCCCTGTGTGGCTTTTTAAAAGTAGCCTCAAGGATCCAGAGAATCCCCTGCGTGATGTGGGCATTAAATCCTCCCTCCAAATTAATTTGTTTCCCGAAACAAGCAGTGTAATGGAACACTTGCCGGCACAAATGCCCAGGTTTGATGGGAATGATTTGGTGGGGAGATTTGGTGGGGAAATTTGGCGCCACAAGAACGACCATCTCGTCTCATGATCTCATCTCTATCTGACACTCCCCTTTTATGTATTCACTGGCAATGCAATGCTCTGATGACGCCATCATTGTACAAAATGTTGAGCTGTGCAATCTTGCCGTCGTGTATTATCCAGTATCGTCTATCGGCCGACTTTGTTATCAAGTCTGATGACAAGTAAACGGTTGTAAGTAGGTCAATGGGATGTTTAGCGTTGGGCTTGACTCTCTACACACATCGTGTTCACACGTTGAGACAAAATCACTATTAAAATTCGCAATAAAGGCGCAATATAACCTTACCAAATAGAATTTATCTACTTTCCATATCCCCACCCCAATAATATCACGAAACCGGCCAGTGTTTTCGTCTAAACTAGCTGTTTTATAAATCACTGCAAGCGCGCAAATTCCAAATGAACACATGACAATAATCCACGGCACAATGTGTACTCTCATGTACATGTCGAATGTGTAATTATTGGTAAATATCCTATTGTCAAAAATGCTTTTTTACGTGTGCATACGATCTGCGTGGTTTGAAATGGCGAGACGGTATACGCAGAGTGCCGTTATCAACTATCGTCATAGTTTATAGTTTATTCACAGTTCTTATCAATCCCGTAGATTACTCAATGTGTACAACCCCGTGTCTGAGCATGGCAAGGTATTTTTGTTATTGGTCTCCAATCGGGGTTGTGAAAACAGCCACATGATATGTGGTGACATTGGGTGCGTTCGATTAGCTTCCCTGAAGACACCAGTGTTACACCAAGGGAAGCCTCGAAATGAGTAATCGAACGCTGCATTGTACTCGCTCGCCAAGGCAGTCTGGGAAAAAGGTCAAGTCCCCGCCAAGTTCCATAATGTACGTCCATGCACGAACAGTCCATCTGTGACGTCATTACACTCGGGCAGCCTCCAGAGACCTGCTCGCCAACCAGGGTAGTAGTGGCTGACACTGGGGCTGGCACGAGGATCACGTGATGGCTAAACGAACGCTCTCGTGTAAGTTTGACTTACACGTGTAAGCTAATCGAATGCACCCATTTTAGAATATGCAAAATAAATTGAGTATATACTGTTTATACACTAAAAAGACGCCATAACTGCGTTGGCACCGCGCTCACGCGCGTTCTTAAGCTTGACACACGCGTGCATTTGATAAATCACGACACCATATTGGTTTTGGAGAGACATGTGACGCGCGCGCGTACCACCTGTCAATGAGCGTTGTGCCACCGCAGAAACAGCTTCTAATTCTGGATATCGATTTACACTTCACATTTGGTTCGAATATCAACGTTTCTTCGCTGGAGATATCTGTAACATGCTGTCTTGAATGATAAAGAGTTCCAATTCCTACGCATACACGTGAGGCCTGTTGCCGCCTGGCGATCTCTATCCAGAATGACATTCAAATTAAATTTCTACCGCAGCCACTGATTGATAAGACTTGCCGAGTGGATGAGTAGCACTCCACAAGTCACATTATGCGAATGCCGCCGGTGCTGAAAAAACAAATGACTTGTTCCGACAGCCAAGAACGGCTGGGCGGAGGGACTAGCGCGTTGTGTGAGTTCATTATTAACCAGTAGTGAGTGTTGGAATGCCAACCGGTGAGGATTGTACCCGTCGACCGTTTCAAAGGCTTCGTCTTGTCGCTATAGTTGAGCTCCGTTCATTCCAGTGGTTTGATTACGTTGTATCTGCTCATCATGAAGGCATGCTTGAAACTGACGCGCAAAGACTAACAGCGGGCTCGTTTATAAGCGTGAGTTGTCTGCAAAATGATGTGCAATATCGTGTCGTTGACAACATCTACTTATTATTTCTCGCTCAGGAAGAAAGATACAGGCAGAAGCATAGTCTATTTGGTCTGAAGCATTTTAAATCAAATTTGCAGTGGAATTAGTTGTTTGGTTAGTCATTTTTTTCAACTACAATTACATTAAATGCACTGCTTGATAGGTGTCAATATAGGGCGCTGCTATTTTGACTTGATATTTCGTCAGAAGTGTATAAGAACGACATTGTTGATTGTTCATGATGAAAAGGTGCATATTTGAAAGGACCGGGATTATTACAAGACCAATTTGCCCGTATAACATTGCTGTACATGAAACAAAGTATGTAGCTTCTGGGGCATGCAATAACTGCAATGCATGCGTTATAATTGCTTTGCATATTGTTTTACATTCTACAGAAACATCCGGACAGTTGATATTCAAACCCGCATGTTTCTTCAAAAACCATTTATAACAAGGTAATAAAAGCAGGTTCTACTTTTCTGACGCCTATGGGTCTCCTGCCAAATGTTACTTTTTGCCAGGAAAATGGTACACGTAAACATTGGACTTACCGACTAATAAATCGTATTTTTTATTGATGTAGCTGAAAATCATGCGAAAAATATTGCAGAGAATGAAGTGAAATGAATGTGCTAATGTGTAGCTCAATCGTTGATTAGTTTAGTTATATCCCAAGTGGGAAATACTATTTTCAACAGTTGAATCTTATCCTCTACATACCTAATGAGTATCAACCTGGTTACGTCTCAGCAAGCAGCGTCTGTTGAAATCTCTCATTGCCTCCATTCTGAATTCCTCGCAGTGGACGAATAGAGATACAGATAGCTAATTTGGTTTCCCATGCTTTACGTTAGGATCCCATCACCTGTACAGATCGAGATATTCCCCGATCGCTATACCTGTTTCCGATGCACCCTGCATGAAAAACAAATAGCATGCAAACATAATTAGACTAAATTCAATAGGTGATGTGTACCAAGAAGGCCAAGACACAAATAAGACTATCATGAAGCAGCTGTCCTTTGCTTGCGTCCATTTGAGTATCGATAAATAAGGACACCGAGCAAAGTTCGGGGCAGGTTTGATATAGTTTGCACACCACCTTGGGCAGGTGAGATGACGGAAGTCTTGCGGGAATCCTATTGAGACAGTAATTTTTTAAGGTATTGATCGGCAGGTGTTGGAACCCAACGCGCGTTAGTAATGCGTGATCTGGTTTGACGAGGAGCCTCATTACAGAAATCACACTGCCATCCCTGAAGACCCTTGAGGTAAATGAACGTAATGAGCTGTAGTTAAGTATGCACAGGTGAGACCCTGACCTTAGGGCTACCAGCATGTTATTTTAAGTCTTCCGTTTATTTATATTGCGTAGCCTTTTATACAATGCGCTTACATTCGACTGTATTAATTTGACTAAAACAAAATCACCATTTTAACCCTTTACATCAGTCATTTCCCCTACCTTACAATCTATTGTGTATTACGACAGACCTATATGCCAGGAAGTAAAGCCGATTCGGTGTAAGAGCCGTGAGTTATGATATTTTTTTCACAATTTTATTGCAACAAAATCGACGAATAGATATTTCATCAGTTATCATAATTAGTAGACAAGTGAGTTACAGCCGCTTACTGATACGTTTTGTAAGAGCAGAGTGCATTAAGATCTCCAGTATACCGTTATTGTCATTTTCATTTTTAATGTTATTTCATTCCAAATACTTTCTCAGGGTTCATTCCAAGGTAACCGTGTAATTCTTTGTCAGGAGAAATTAACTAACAGTGTCATGCCACTTTTTTACATATTTTTTACCTCATTATTAATCTTGGGTCCTTTTCAACCTTCCAGTTGCTTCGGCCTCAAATGATGTTAATTGCTCAAAGCAATATGTCGATTAAAGATCTCAAAAGGTAGGCCTATGTAAAGGAATCTCGCGATTTTTTCGACTTGAGTCCAACTTAAGCCGACATGTATAAACTTGTGTGCTTGGTTTGGTGGTTTTCCTTATTATTTTGGTCTGTTTTACGTTTGCCTCATAAGGTTTTATGCTCTGGTTTTTTTTCTCCAGTAGGCCTACTCTGAAGTGGAAGCTGAAGAGGTATTTTTGTCTTACACCGCTGGTAAAGTTGTCAGCAACAGACATTTCCAATAAAGTTTGAATTGAAACGCCTTTTGGCCCCGCATCATCATGGACTGACAACATACACGGTCGCTAATCTGATTAAATCGGCAAAGCACCATTCCCGACGGTTTCAAAATTAAGCTCCCGGTGTCGATGAAAAACTCCGAAGGAATATCTCTTGAGATAAACAATGTGGTATTCTTCTTGATATGCGTGTCACAGCCATGTCCACGTAGATTGTCACAGATGTCCCATGCCTCGCATGCAACAAACTGGGCATTTTTGTGGGTTTAACACCTTTAGATGAATCCGCAATCTCCTGTATGTCCCTGGTCATCAGCTTCATGCCGCTAGCACGACTCCTTAGTTTATCTGGTTTTTTAAACTAAAATACTTCGGCAAACGGCTTTGCTAGAAAGCGGAGTCAGACTACGTGCATCGGTTGAGTAGAAACCACTTTGCAAAATTAAACATGACATATACGGTTTCCCGCCTGAAATGTTGGCTGTGTGGAGGCTTGCCTGCAGGGCAGAGAAAATGATTGAAATTGACTGCAAGAAGGAAACTTTCGATTCACGTATGCTGCAGACATTATCAGATATAGATACCCCCATGGAAACCTTATTTCATTTCAGTATTGATTTCGTTTTTGTATTTGTCAAAATGTTTCTATACCTGTCCACTTACAGGAGTTGAATAGATTTATTTGAGAATGGAAAGAAAAAACATTGCAGCAGCTACGTTTAATCGACATAATTTATTGATATCTTTCTGCTCATTCTGGGATTGTGCGAGCCAACGACATTCATACTTTGGTTCGTGTAGGCCTACTCCTAATCAGTAACACATGCCATTTGGCACTCGTCTGCATATATTTGCCTTTTATATTTGACAGTTTAATTAGTAACTGCCACCATTAAGACTGATAAGTGTACCCCTTACTTTCTACCATTTATAAACACTTGAAAACACTGCTCCTGTTGCCAACTGCAAATTAACCCAACTGGTTCCCCACTCATTAAAGCACGTCCACTTCGACAGTTCGTATTCAGTACTGCAAAACTAACGATAAGTCACAATTAATTTACAATGTCAAAAAAGTCGTGTCACAGTTATAAGAAATCTCAAAAATCAAGGCAGACATGGCTTCCGTCATTTCATGTACATGTAGATGCAAGTGACAACTTGCATTCATTGTAGTGACAACTCAACTCGCTTATATCACTAAAACAAACCCGAACCAATACACATGAAGGTCAGCTTACCAGACATATATTACGATGTGTAGCCTAGGAGAACACTCATTTTGTTGACAACTGATGCTGTAATCAGCATTATCCAAACTTTCTAAATGAAACATTTCTTCACGGTCAGATATGGTTCTCACGATTCACCTTTCTTGCCGTTAATATTGACAGCAAGTGTCGTTAAAACACAAGTCATGTAGAGACCACAGTGTCGAGTGTGTCGCTACATGAGTTGAAGTGCGGAGATCCGTTATCAACACGGGGCCCGATGCATGCACTGTGCAACACACTGCAACTATTCGCACTAGTGAGCCGGCGTGCGTGGCATCAATACAATGGGGGTAGTTTCCGCGTGGATCGATAAGCACTTTCATCAGCGCGTCAGTTTAATATTTGGTCTAAAATTGACAGGCCATCTGCTTTGCAGAAAGGAAGCTCTCATATACTTTGGCCGATTCACAAGCTTATATTTTTTCGTGATTTGCTTGCTGCCAAGGATGTGTTCACAAACCAAAAAGATAAATCCAACAGGGAATGAATTGAGTGAAAAAATCGCGAAATATCATTTTGTTTTGATGAAAATGATGAAAACTAACGCCATCCATGTCTTTGTTTGGTAACTCTTACCATGCCTATACTATTCGTTTTCTTCACGGGTTTGCAGGTGACAGCTTTTTATGTGATGTATCAAAGAGTAACGTCCCATTGAAATGGGACGTTATGCTCGCAGTGCGAGTACATAGGCCCTCTAGGTAAGTGTCATGGTGCTATGTTAGAGTCTGTCCACTTCGACAGACCTGAAATAATTCTGGGAACCCCTGATTTCCGGCTTGAAAGAAGAAAGAAGATAATGGGTAGCATGAACAACAAACAAACAACAACAATAACACAGTTAATGATTTCTTTAACATGCGATATAATGCAAGAGTAAAGCGAATTCTTGGTCTTCATTATCCCAATGGATCTCCAGTTTTCCCAGATTTTTCTGCTATATTTGCCAGCCTTTACAGACAGCCTTCAAATATACCAGGCGCACCACCTATACATTCCAAAATGCAGAGTTAACAATTCACTATTCAGAGACACCATTTCTCATCATCACTTATCCAAAGCCTAGCTTATTGTTTGTTTACTTTGATACGTCAACATTATTGATACTTTCCTACCTGCATATCTCACCAGCTACCTTGGAAATTAAGGAAACGCTTGTCAATAATAGAAACCCGCAATGTCAAACTCACATATGTCTATTTAAAAAACGATGGGTTTGATGTTTTATAGCCTACATGAGGGCGCTTTCGAAATGACCCTTTGGGTTCAGTCATAAATACAAATGCTTCTCTTACAGCCTTTTCTAAAGATACATGGATATTGCTCCGGTGGGATAAGTAGCTTCTCCCGTGACGTTGTGTAAACATATCACATCAAAGTTAATGTGTAGCCAGTCATAAGCAAAAAGGTTCATTTCTTAGTTTTCAGTCCACTGTCGCCAATTAACAGTTCTCTTAAATAGTAATGAATATGTATATTGGGACATGTGCATTGAATATTTCTTACATGAAAGCAAAACACCATTAGAACGACCGTCACAAGAGAAAATCTTTTCATAAAATCATTCTCCTAAACATCTCTTTTTTCTTTTTTCGTCCTATAGAACGATCTGATTATATTTAAATCTGTCTTTGTTTTATCAGTCTGCTGTCTGCCCTTACCTTTTGAATGTCTGTATTGTTTTCTGCAGTAAATACCATACCGTAGTGTTTTTCTACATGTGATCCATTCATGCAGAAAGGGCGGAGGGCTCTTTGTAGTCTTTAATGGTTGTTCCAAAAAGCAGGTAATTGCTCATAAACACGCTCTCAGATGAAGCGTGAAGTAAGCTACGTTTGCTAGCAGTGGTAACCTCTGTCGTACCCACAACGTAATCTTATGGTAATGACTGACTTCACATTGGACAGGGAACTTCACCGCTTTTATGTACCATTTATGAAAAAGTAAGCTTGTTGTCATGGAAGCGAAGGCCAATGCTGTCCTTCAACTCATGTAATTTTAATAAACGGAACGATTTCGTAAATAAGATGTACAGATGTATGCAAAATGCATGTAGCTAAAGTTGCATATCGGAGTTCATAAAGTGACATGCATTGTAGTTGTGACATGAATGATACAGTAATGAGAGTAGACAGTGGTGAAGAAGATAATATCCAGCATAATGGAAAGGTGCAAAGCTGCCAGTGTTGGTAAGAGATAAAGTCATGACCAAATGGTGACTGTTGGCAGCTATAAAAGGGAGATAAAATGTGGATAACAAAGGATGTATTCTGTTGAGGTAACCCCTAATGCCATTTGAGGTCTTGTCTTGGGCCCAAGTTCTTTGGACCGCTTTGCAGGAACTTACGCAGCACATTGTATACTGTGCTAAGCTAAAAACAACAGGGACCATCTACATAAGGTACACACAGCGTGCGAAATGCTGGCTGGTAACTACTTACTGCTAACTAAATATTTTGTGCGTTAAGTTCTTTTTGAATAGCATCTCTTT